CCCCGTACCAGCCCCCTCCCGGGTCTCCGTGGCCCTCTCAGCGAGCGGGAGAGGACCACACACCTCTTCCCAACTCGGGGCGCAGTGGGGGCACAGGAGGCCTCAGGGACCCCGATGCTGCCGGCGACCCTCCTGTCTGCCGAGGGCGGGACTGTCCCGGGCCCACACGGGTTAAAGGTTCCATCATGCGGCTTCTCCTCAGTGTGGAACCCGGGCCCCTGGTCCCCGTCCCCTCATCTGTAAAACAAGGAGAGGGCTATTTTGAAAATTAAGTCAATAACGAGATGCAGCCCTAACCGGTTTGGCTCAGTGGATAGAGCGTCGGCCTGCGGACTGAAAGGTCCCAGGTTCGATTCCAGTCAAGGGCATGTACCTTGGTTGCGGGCACATCTCCAGTAGGGGGTGTGCAGGAGGCAGCTGGTCGATGTTTCTCTCTCATTGATGTTTCTAACTCTCTATCCCTCTCCCTTCCTCTCTGTAAAAAAATCAATAAAATATATTTAAAAAATAATAAAAAAATAAAAAAATATATAAAAAAAAATAATGAGATGCAGTGGGATGAGCACATGGTAGCACACAGTAGGTTCTCACACTCACTGAAGAGCCGCCCCCGAGCGGGCGTGGGTGGCCCAGATGCTCGGCGCTCGGCATTCTGGGAGGCGGGGACCTGCCAGGAAGGCTGGGCGGCCAGCTCCCTCTGGTTCTCATTAGGATTTGTCGCCTCCCCGCCCCAGCCCCTTCCAGTTGGCAACGTCATTCTTCAGTCTCTGGGGACCACCACAGCCCACTGAGCCCGCCAGCTCGCCAGGGGCGGGCCGGGGAAGCTGCGCCTCCAGAAAGGGGGTGGGGGAGGCCGGCTGGGCGGTGGAGTCTGCATCGGGGGACGGCGGGGACCGGAAGGCCTGCTGGGAGAAGAAGCTGGCGCCCAAAGCCCGGGGCCCCTAGAGGAGCCTGGGGGAGCTGCGTGAATGGATGGGCAGGTGGCTGATGGGCGGAGGCGTCTAGGCCACTGGGGACCCGGCCAGGCGCTGGGGAGAGGCCTGCTCATCTGCCCGCCCGCCCTGGGTCACCGTTGGGTCCTGCCCTTGGGGCGTCCCTTCCTTGGGGCCCTGGTGCAGAGGAGCCCGTGTGGGGTTGGGGCGGGCTTCCGTCCCCTCCGCCTCCTTCACCAAGTTTCCAGGAGGCGTCTCCCCGGCACGGCTGGGCCCCCAGT